ATTTTAGGGTTTTTACGGCTTACATTTTGCTATCAATTTCAGTATTCTAGGTTTTGGAATTTTTATACGCAAAGTCACACAAGAGCTATCTTCGCATAACCGTTCCTAGTTTAGAATTGTTAGACAGAAGGAAGGAAGCTAGTGAATAGCACTCACTGACGGCTGCCTTAAGGTACTCTTGTTTGTTTGTTTGGCTATCTGTGCTTTGCCCACCACGAGTATCGAAACCCGGATTCTAGCGTTGTAAGTCCGCAGACATACCGCCGTGCCACGGGGGGGGGGGGGCGGCTACTCTCGTCATAATAATAGTTGGATTTGACAGTTACTCTTATAGCGCATCCACGACCCCAAAATGCAGAAAAGGTTTTTGGGGTAACGAAACGCCAGCCATGAACTGGATTTACAGTCCGGGCACGCTTACTTTTGGATCAAGCTGGTATTGCCAACTTTAAAGTGTCTCTGCGCACTCTTTTTGGACTGTTGGCCATTACTGTTTGGAAAGATTATGTTTTCAATGATGCAGGCATGACAGTACATAATTGTTGTTGACTTTTAATTTATCTTTGAATGGTGCAACTTGAAAGTATTACTTACATAACCTTCTATTTTGTAGAGTTTAGCTTAATGTTCAGTGAGTTCGGTGGAGTTCCCTCCAGAAACCACCGTGTTTTTTGTTTTGTTTTAGTATTTACTTCGTCTTCCGCTAAAAGATTAGTATATATGTTAAGCATAGTTTTGTGTACATGGTTATCGAAGTTGGACTGAATGAAAGATGTAACAAATTCATTGTTATGTATTTATTTTTAACATGAACATTGTTTAGATTAAATTTGTATTTTAAAATATGCGTAACTTATAGTGTCAGATATGTATTGCGTATAACGAATTTGTTATATATTTATTTTAATGACAACGTTTGTTTGGAATGAGTGTATATTTAAAAACACTGCCTAGCTTACAGTGTTAGCTACGTATGGCGAAACTCCCGCCAATTCTCTAAGATTGTAGAATATTCGTGAACGCAAGAATCGACAATATATCCACTTCCGTAACCAGTTAAATATAGTTCAGTATTGTTCTCCAAACTTTCGAGAAAATCTTTCTCGCGCCTATAGAAGAACTAGAAAGAAGATTCT